AAATTCCTACTTCAAAGATAATGTTAACATGATAAACTAGCCTGGAATTGAGCATTCTTATTACTTTGCTATGTTGTGCAGGCTGTGCAACTACATTATAACAATGATATTTCAAGATTCTGTGACCTTCCATTGTGCCAAATGTTAAAAAGAATTAAACAAAAATTGTATGAATGCTAAGATCCGACGAGGCTGTATAGCAACTGAACGCTTAATCTACTTCAAGGGAAGACAAGTTCAACAAATAAACACAATCGAATGTCGCTCATATGTCATAATGATTGCATAACTAAAGTATATTATTTGGTCAAAGTAAAAAAGAATCAATGTGAAAATATTTAGGTCTACTTTGTCAATTATATGGTTAATTGTGCCAATTGAAAATAGGAATTCAGTTAAAAACTTATACCGTGATATTTGATATAGTGCAAATGAAAATAGGAGTTGAATATAAAATATTGAACAGCGTGCCAAATGAATACCAAATTTGAACAAAAATACACCAAAATACTGCCAGGATTGAGAGCCTTGATTTCTTTCGTGAGAATATAAGAAATAAAATAAGAATTAAAACTCGATGACACAAATATTTTTTATTTTCAAAAAACTACAAATACTTTTTTCTAAATTCTACACATTCTACACTAATAATAACATAATAAATACAAAATTCGTGCAATGCACGAGACAAAAACTAGTATATTTAAACAAATGTATTTGAAGAAATTGATAACAAGCTCTCCAAAGTAAAACTCATAAGTAAAATTTGTACAAATTATCATATTATATATATATTGGCCCTATACTGATGAAACTCCAAGGATCCTTTTAAACATGAAATATGTGGGTAGTTAATAATTGATAATTCTAATTGCTATAACTTTTTCGTATCGTTTTATTGTCAACACAATAAAGTTAAGGGTATTTTGAAAATTTTATTGAAAAACGTAAATTTCTCTTTATATTCAGGGCGGAGGAATTTCATTGTATTCCATGTATTTAATGAAAAATGAAATTAAAAAAAGAAAAAAGAAAAAGAGGTTGAACCCCAACTAATGAGAAATGAAATTTGTTTGGACAACAGGTGGTTTTAGTCGTGGTTTGAATCATACAAGGGCCTATTTGATAAGCTTCTTTCTTCCATGAAAAATTATTCATTTTCCACCCAAATGTTATGTTTGATGGCCAAAATTTTTCATGAAATTGGTTTTCCAATTGACCCCACGTGATCACATTTTCTTAGTTTTTAAGGAATTGATTTTCTTTTGGTTTTGGTGGGAATTGGGTTTTTCAACTTTTTTTTTTAATTAAAAAATTCCCACAATTGTAACAAATATTATCCCTTTAATTGATAATATTCATGAAAAACGAAGTCAAACGAATATCAAAAGATCCAAAATTTTAACATTTTTTCGATGAAAAATTATACCAATCAAAGACATTTAATTGATAATGCTCAATAAAACAAGTTCTAGACAATTCAATTCCATGAAATTCATTTTCTTTCCACCCAAATTTTACAAACAGACCCTAAATTGCATTTGGTCATGATCTAGTCACTTTGATATCCGATTGGTAAAGAGGGAGGCTCACTCAAGTTGGACAAATCCCCCATGTGGGGATAGGGCTGTCAATGGATCATATATGCTTAAATCCGATCTGATAATCCGACGGATATTTGAATATTAAATCCAAACCCAATTAGCTATGTTATCGGATATCCGATCCGATAACCAGATCCAAATTTGAAAAAATTAGAAAAATAAATTTTTTTTGTACTATTATATAATACTATTTATTATTTAAAAATTACATGTAAAGTATAATACAATTTTCAAAATGGAAAAAATAGTGTCATAAATTATGCGATAATATAAAAAATATAATATATTATTATAATAAATTGGATCGAGTTGTTATTGGATCGAATTGACTTATATCCATATTTGATTCATTTAGTTAACAGATTATCGGATTCGGATCTTAATCAGATTATCAGATTGAAACCTTAAATCTATTTCCCATTAATTTCATCGAATTCGGATCAAAATTCAATCCATTGACAGTCCTAATTACCACCTTAGCTATACCTTCTACCGTTTGAAGAAACTACAGCATCGTTGTTAGTCTCCATTTTTTCTTTACCACTTAAAGAATCTACTTTAGAGCCACCTTTTTTTCCCAATATTCACACCACCATAAGTCTTCCTCCTACAAGTAGATGAATCTATGTCAGAGTCACTACTTTTTCATATATTCACCCCACCATAAGATGTACCTAAACCATTGCTGTGCGGTTGCAACACTCGTGCACATGGTTGCAAGTGGTGGATCGATGTTGAAGAAGAGAAGTGTGATTTGGAATTGTTACAATTTGGGATTTGGATGGGTAAGATTTAGAGAAAGAACATAGAAGATAGAGAGAAAATAGGAGAGAGAAGACAGAGAGATAAGTGAATTTTGATCTAATTTTTTAATTAACTAGTTAATGACGAACATATGTTGCACGTTATTCTATAAGTGCTTTATAACTCCTCATTCACCATTTTGTTCTAAATATGAGAGAATGCAAACATCTGAAAATAAAAAGGCTAATTATTATACATGCAAGTATAGTAAAATGCACTTAAGTGCGAGTATTAGACTTACAACTAAATGCATAAATGAAGGAGAATGGCAAATGCGGTACATGAATTAACTCGAATGTTAGTTAATTTAGAATTAATATCAAGGAATATATATGTGACAATGAATGTTAAATCATTTATACTAAATGACTATAATTTAGTTTTCAATTAAGTGAAAAATAGATGTTAATTAACATACATAGACGTGAATAATGAACTGTGCTCTTAAATGTAAAATTCTGACTAAATTAATTAAATAAATGTGAATATTAATTAATTGAGACTTAATAATAGGGACATGGACGTGAATTTGAATGTGAAATACTAATTAAATGAATATGAATGTTAATTAATTGAGAATTGATTATAGAGAAGAACAAGAATTTTGTAGTATTTATTACACTTAGTAAATTAAATACATATTGAAAAACGAAAAGTTAAGTATTATTGAAATAGTTGAATTGTAATGGGGCAATAATCGTCCAAAAATGATTCTTCTTTGATGTGATATTTAATAGATTATATTATAAATAAATTTTAGACCTGAATTTTGAAGTTGAAAGTTGAAATTTAGGTGGGGGTAAATTCCCACTAAATTTATCATGACTAGTTTTGATCCAATCTTTTAACAAAAATGGATCAACACAAATGTCCTAGTTCTAAATATTACATTTCATAAATAACAAACTACTAAAATAATTAAAAAATCAGGTGGTAAATAAATTTATTAAATATTAAATTATAATATAATATATATTAATTATTTCCACTTATGCCACCTCACCTCACTACACCGCCTTCCCTTCACCTCTCCACCGGAGATGGTCATCGATTTTGGTGACAACTTTGGCGACTGCTCCGACAACTATTCTGATGACCACTCCGATGATCGTTCTGACGACTACTCTGACTAGCTCTTTGGCGACCACTTCGATGATCATTCCGACTATTGCTCCGGCTCTAGCGACAAAAAAATCTCCAAAATTGGAAAACAATTTCTTTCTCTATACTCCATTGTATAAAAATCTCTAAAACTTTATTTGTGACCAGATTTTTTGTTTGTGACCATGCCTATCCAGAAATTTTTCAAGCCACTGACAAGTATCTATGATTAATTGTGACCAAATTTGTATTCAATGTCACTAACCGCAACCAAATTTGTATTTAGTGTAACTCTTTGTGACCAAGTCAGTATTAACTCTGACAGTATGTGATCAAATCACAATCAACACAGAATTGATCACAACTTTTACAATAAACACATATTTGCCTCACAAAGAGTCACCACAAACAAATCTCCACACACTATATACCAGTACCACAATCCTTCACATCCAACTTTACTATATTCATTGACCTATGTTATCTGTGACTAATTGATTTTGTTTTTCATTGTGACTGTTTGTGATCGTATTAGTCTAATTTATGACTGCATGTAAACAAATCACATATAGTCATAGTTAACGTAGTTCTGGTTATGGGCAGTCACAATAAAGATAGAATTGGTCATACCTGATTTTCATCATCACTACCACCTCGACACTTCAACCACTCCCAACAATGTCAACTAAATGTGCACCCACAGCAAGCACACCCACCACCACTGTATCCAACCACATATTATCACCACCATCGCCAACCAGATCTAAACCCACCAATCCACCACACCATATTTGGTTAAACACCACTACACATCGATAGTGCCATCACCATACTGCTAACACCACTGCATCCACACCCACCACCATCCCATCCAACCATACCATCTCACCATCATCATCACACCCAAAACCCTAAGTCGGTGTCAAAGGATTGCAGCATCACGACGAATTACTGCAAAATCGACACAAAGGATTACAGCGCAATGAAGGACTGTATGCACCAGTCGGTGTCAAAGGATTACTACGTCGTCGATCATCATTCGCAGAGTTGAAATCAGTGTTGCGTGGCAACCTATTGAGAAATCTAAACAGCTTCCAATGCCAACAACATTGTCCAACGCACTTCCTTCGTTGCTAGTTGCCTAATATCGAAGAGCCATACCGATGGAGCCATCGAGGATCCATTGCCTCAACCAGGCTGTGGTAAACAAAATCATGGGAGATCCTCTTATTGAGTGAATGGGATAGGTTGGGTGGGGTGAAGTGAGGAGAGAGAGAGAGAGAGAGAGAGAGAATAGGTTGGGTGGGAGTGGTGTGATATATGTATATTAGGTGTATTAATTTTAATTATAAGATCTAATTAACACCTAATATGTGAAAATGAAATTTAATTCTTTATTTTTTGAAAATGAATCTTTAAATGTAGATATTTAGGTAATTTTCTCTAACAAAACTCTTTGGCCCAATTCATTTTGACAACAGTACATGCAGCCTGTTTTGTTAGAAAGACAACCCAATCTTGAAAGCTCCAACCGTACGAATATACCAAAAGATTGCGGGCCTCGATTACATCGAAGAAGAGAACCCATGAATATGCCACCTCCTTTTCTCTCTCTTTAAAATCTGAAAGTTTCAGCTCATTAATTCGAGAAGATATTGTTTATTCATTCGTGGGATTTTGGATGGAGCCGCGCGTGGGAAATAAGTTCCGGCTCGGACGGAAAATTGGAAGTGGCTCATTCGGAGAGATATATTTAGGTATGTTAGAATAAATTGATTTTTTTTCCCACTTTTCTCTGATTGAATTTGTGGTTTTTCTTGTATTTATTTTTTCATTTATTACGAAAATTGTTTTTATTTCCTGAATTATGCAGGTACTAATATACAGACAAATGAAGAAGTTGCTATTAAGCTTGTGAGTATTAGAAGACCTCTTTCTTTTCATTCTTAATTTACTTTTACTTATGGTTTTGTGATTTTAATTACCATCATAATTGTGTGCTTTAAAAAATATCTGAAATTGTTATCTGTTATTAAATTCATCAGTTCTATTTCTTTTTTTTTTTCGTGGAAAGAATTTGACTTTCTAATCTTTAGAGATATAAGAAAGAGAATATGCCTCATGCATTTTATAGCTGACGAAACTTACTGTAGAATGTCATTCATTTGGGGAATGGTTCAAGTGGAGAAAAGAGGTAAAATTATGTCTATCCCAATCTCTGTCTCATTAACATTTGCAGTCAGGTGGGGCTCCTTCAAGGTTCTTTCCTATTCAAACTTATGTGCTGATAATCAAAGATTTTTTTTTGTTAAACTTGAACCTTGTGTAGTTTATGCAGCAGTTGTGGTCAAATAGTTGCATGTTCAATAGTCGAGTCGAAATGTCATTTTTAGGAACACGTGAATTCTTTTTGGACATTTCTACTTGCTGATTCCATGTTCATTTTTATCGTGATCTAGTTACCATCTTGTTCTCTGTCCCCAAGATGGTCTTGTGTGGATGAACATTGTTATTTATGATTTTGTCGGACATAATAGAAAATGTGGTCAATATGGCTTCGAAAAATTCTAAGTTCTTCCAGAAGCATTGTCTCAAACCTTGGTTTTTTGGGAGAGGATGGTTGCTTTAACTTTTTAACACAAGGCAGAAGTTGCAGTTTGGACGTGGCATGCAAATCAATGTTGATTGTCTAGCAAAAATGTCATTCTTGGAAGCTTTTGAAGTACTTTTTAGACAATGATATGTATTGATTCTGTTTCCTGTTTTATTATGGTCTAGTTAATGTGGACCTAAGATGGGTTCGTCTGGAGTTGAAGTTGTTTGTTTATGGTGAATGCAATGTAAAGGGACATATGGTCAATGGAAAAGCTATGATCTTTTGGTGTCGCTGTCTTAATCCTCAGTTACTCTAAGAGAGAGTGGTTATTTTGTCGTCTTTTTGGGCCATGGTGGCTGTTGTAATCTGATTATGGTGTGTAGAGATCATTGAAGGCAGATTGTCAAGGATCATTCCTGGAAGCATTTGAAGATTTTCATTTTCTAGCCAATGATATATGCTGATCAGATTTTCTGTTTGTCAAAATCTACTTATTACGAGGTATATTGAAACACGGTGATTATCTATGTAAAAAGTGAACATACAAATGCTTTTGTGGTCCATTCAGCTTGACAGAGAGGGAGGATCATTTCTGAACCTTGTTGTAACCATGTTCGTGGGAGAGATTAGTGTAGTTCTCTTCTATTGTGCCGGGCAGTTGTGCAGTTTGAGTACGGCACGTAGAGATTATTCAAGGCAGAATGTTGAGCAAGAATGTCATTACTGAAAGTTTTTACTCTTCCTTTTAAGACAATATCAGTGCTAATGAATCTCTGGTCATAGTCTAGGTATCGCGTCATGTGTTCTCCCGTGGACCACCATGACAGAAAATGTGGGCTGCTTCACAATCATTAATGCAACTTGCAGCATTTATGGGAGAAGGTGGTGCTTTTTTCTCCTTTTCAGACCTAATCAAGAAGTTCTATGATTGAAATCGCGTGTAGAGATCATTGAAGGCTGATTTCGGGCCAATATGTCATTTTTGAAAGCTTTTGTAGTTTGTTATGACCATTTAATTATTTTGATTTCCTGCCTTTTTATGGTTTAGTTACCATACAAGTTAAAATTTACCCTGTCACTGTTGGACATGGCATTATGTAGTATGTTATGATTGTAGAAGGCTCAAAGGATCATATTGGTCTGTTTGGATTGAGAGTTTTGCTAGTATCTTTCAAAGTCATCATCTCAACCCTCTATTTTATGGGGGAGGAATGTGGTTTTGTCTTTATTTAGGCTAAGTCAGTGGGTGCTTTTTTAGGTTTTTCCTTGAAATAAGCGCAACTTGGTTGGATTGAAATTTTTGTCTTTATTTATAGTGGAATTACTGTTTTCCATGTACTTTTAGAAGCTGTAATCTACTCTTTTAGTTTTGTCCATTTTGTCTAGGCATACTACATTTCTTCTTTTATGACATTTAGACATTAGAGGGCAATACTTGGGAAGTTAAGAAATCTGAGAATATTGTCAGTTGTCAGTTATATGCCACTCACATATTCAGGTCTTGTAAGCTAGGACTTGTATAGAGAATAAACAAATGATCTGAAGATGCACAAATTTGATTATTTTTAGATTTTTATCCCTTCAGCTTAACTACAAACGCTTCTCGCTCCATTCTCCAACTATTTGACCAGGCCAAAGGTCAATTAAACAGCTTATGTCCTCTTAACTTCTCATGTAAATAGAAATTTACTTGGTTAAGCTGGATTGAAACCCAGTGCTGCGGAGATGCAAAATCAACATGGAGGGGTTGTTTTCACAATACTCAGCATGAATCGTTTCAGATAATTTTTTAATCTGGATGGGAGGAATTTGTTACATGTTGAACTTCTATCAAGGATGGATCTTGAAATTCAGTCTTTTCAGGTGCACAGAATTAGTTGTAACAAATGCACATGACAATGAGAGAAGTTATAGTTATGAGCAAGAACCATACAGTTGTATTACTATTTTTTTGCTGGTATCATTTTTATCAGTTTAATGCCAATCAAGATATAAATATTTGATATGTTTATTGTTTTTAGTTATTTATTTGGTTCATAAGATATTTACTGCTTTGATTTCAATGCCGCTGCTCATAATATCGTCTTTACGTTTGTACACATAGATGTACTTTTCTGCAACTTCATCGAACAGAATTCAGTTTTTGCTCACTTTCTGTAGTAGAAGAATCGTCAATTGTTTATTATTTTATTTGATCATAACTCAGGAAAATGTCAAGACAAAGCATCCCCAGTTACTCTACGAGTCCAAGTTGTACAAATTACTACAAGGAGGAAGTAATGAACTTTGTCATTATTCAAACTCCTGATCATCATTTTTCTTTTTTGGATTTTATTGTAAATTAGCTTAATATCGTCATACTTTTCAATTTTGGTAGCTGGAATTCCAAGGATTAGTTGGTTTGGAGTTGAGGGAGACTATAATGCCCTTGTGATGGACTTACTAGGACCTAGTCTTGAAGACTTGTTTAACTTCTGTAGTCGGAAGCTTTCTCTCAAGACAGTTCTAATGCTTGCAGATCAGATGGTAGGATATTGTTTTTGCTTTTGTGTATGGTTAAAAATACAAGACATATTTATGCTCAAATTTTTGTCTGGCAATCTCATTTCTTTTCAGGTTAACCGGGTCGAATTTGTTCATTCTAAATCCTTCCTGCATCGGGATATTAAGCCTGACAACTTTCTCATGGGCTTGGGAAGGCGTGCAAATCAGGTTCCCATGTTTTTGTTTCTAAATTTGAAGATTTCCTCATTTTTATTTTAACTGTCTGTTTTAATGATCTGTGGTGATTCATCGAATTACACATAGGTGTATGTTATTGACTTTGGACTTGCCAAGAAGTATAGAGACTCCTCAAATCAACACATTCCATATAGGTAATGTGTTTTTGAAAACTTGAACAGTAATTATTCTGCATTTTCTCTATTTTAAGGCCTGATGTGCTTAATTATTCAACGCAGAGAAAATAAAAATTTGACTGGAACAGCCAGATATGCAAGCATGAACACCCATCTTGGCATTGGTATGCATGTGAATTATTTTGCTTTTCCTTGAACATTTGATAGAACTTATTTGATCAGTTATTGATGTTAAGTCTGGTTCGGCTCTACTGCATTTACCTCTGAATAGAACAAAGTCGCAGAGATGATTTAGAATCACTTGGATATGTTCTCATGTATTTCTTAAGAGGAAGGTATCAATTTGTATATTTGTCTTGTTTTGTTTTTCTCTATCATTCTCACAATATTGTTACTTACTTCCTTTCAAAATATGTAGTCTCCCATGGCAGGGGCTGAGAGCTGGAAACAAGAAACAGAAGTATGAAAAAATTAGCGAGAAGAAAGTTTCAACCTCTATTGAGGTAAAAAAGTGTCACCATTCTGCTTTGGCCATTTACGTATTCCATGACAAGACTGACTTTTTAGCTCACTTTTTCTTTAGGCTTTGTGTCATGGCTATCCTACAGAGTTCGCTTCATACTTCCATTACTGTCGTTCACTTAGGTTTGATGATAAACCAGATTATGCTTATCTGAAGAGAATTTTCCGTGACCGTTTTATTTCTGAAGGTGTTTGCATTTTCCTTAGCATCACAATATACTACTTTCTCAATTTAAATGATGTCTATTCTATGGTATATTCATGCTTACACGTTTCTCCTTCTTCCTGCAGGATTTCAATTTGATCATGTATTTGACTGGACCATTTTGAAATATCAGCAGTCACAACTTGCCAATCCTCCTCCTCGTGCCCTTGTAAGTAACACCAAACTCTTGACTTGCCTTCTGTTAACCCCAATGCACAAAACATGACAGTTATGTTGGGATAGGGGGCTGCTGGAACAAGTTCAGGGATGCCTCGTCCTAATATTGACAGGAAATCAGGTATGTCTTGGGCATTTGTTCGTTTCATTTCATTTCATGTTTATTTATAGTGCATTGTAAGTGTAGATTCACTGTGCATCTATCTGTTGATTCTGTTCACCAAGTTAACTATTTGTCGAGAGCGAGTCATTTCCATTGCAAGAAGAATTTACAGTTTTATGGAACTGTAGTTTCCCGGTAAGATGGGTTGCTTCTATATGCTCAGGATATAATTTTATTGCAGGTGGTGAAGAAGGAAAGGCCAAGGACCGGTCTTCTGAAAATGCTACTCGTGGCAGAGACTTTTTGAATTCTGGAAGCTTGTCTAGACAGAAAGGTATTCTTGCAAATGACTCATCCATGGGTAAAGAGGTGAGACATTTCTTCTCGTGCGTGTGCGTGCGTGTGTGATGTGTTGATTTTTGTGTACTGCTCAGAAATAAGGAAAATGTGGGGAAAAACTGAATTTTTTCTCAGTTATTATGGACCTTTTCATTTTTTAGTTAAGCAATGGTGGAGTTTATATTGGGTTCAGTTATAGCATGCCATGAGTGATTCATCTCATGATCCGTTAGGATAACGATGTGGCTTATACATGTTTTGCACTGGTGACTTGGGATTGAGCGGCAGAGTTGACTTCCTTTGCCTTAATCTTCCACATACTATGCAAGCGCCAAAGGGTTGTAGTTTATTCTGTGTTATGATTATCATGGATTTGGCTTTTGAATGACTTTGGGTGGTTTAGGGATTTTGTTGTAACTTTAGGGCTTATTCTTCTTGTTTTCTGTGTGAGGTTTTAGAATAGGAAATTTGTGAATCTAATTTAGCTGAAATTATCACCCTTAGGAGAGTTTTAGCCTCTATCTCCATTTTAAGCTATGATGCTCGGACTCAACTATGGGTATCGGGTACGGGTACGGGTACGTATCTAAGTGTCGGATCTTTTATTTTTTCAAATTATAAGATACGGAGATATGACTAGAAGGAGTATGAATTTCAGACACAGGTATGTGTGTACATCTTTGAAACTTCAAAGTTATTATTATTATTATTATTATTATTATTATTATTATTATTATTATTTTTTCCAGAAATATATGTAAAAAGTTAAATAGTAATGAAGTGGCAAATTGTTAAAAGACATGATATTTAAAACCAACTAGAAAATTCTATTAAATCAAACAATATAAGACCATGCTATTATTTGATTACTTACTTTTATTTTGTCAAGCTTTGAAAAATATTAATTCCAGAAAATACTATTAAATTGTTCTAAAACATTTATTTATGCTGATTTTATAATTTTCTGCCAATCATTTTGACACCAAAAAAATAAAAATCGCATTTGAAATTTTTAAAAATTTGTAACAATATTTGCAATGGTATTTTTGTTTAACTAAAATGGTTATATCTAGATCAAAAGAACCAAAAAGCATATTTAAGAAAAAATAAATCTCATGTAATTTGCTTTCGTTTAAACAGGTGGATACTGGGCATAAGAAGTCCAGTGGATTAAAAAAACAAAAAAAAAAAAAAAAGAGGGGCCCAAAACATTAAGACCCAAAATTTGAAACAAAAAAAAGCCCAAATAACTGGCTCTTCTTCTTTCCTAATCCTTCAACTTCACGGCGTTCTTCACTTTGCAACATCGGCATAGCCAAGCTCCAACAAGTTCCTCCCCTAGCGTGTTTGGTTGAAAATTGTCATGTCTACCCCCTATCTCATACCCCATATCCGTATTTTGTTGTGTCGACACGGGTATACCGACCGGAAAGAAGAGTCCGAGCATCACAGATTTTAAGTATGCTCATGGCTGAGAGTGGAAAGTTTTGTTGTGGAACAGCTGGAAGGAAAATCTCGCAAATGAAATTGAAATGTGTCGGTAATTGTCAAGGGTAAATTTGGAAGTTCATTCAAGTAACACCTTTTTTAAGTTATTATGAGCAATTTGGAAATTTAGCTTATTTGGAGTTTGTATGGGGTAAATTTTTCAAAAATCATTTTTCTCCAAACCAATTTTCAAGCTCACATTCTTAAAATAAGAAAAAATCATTTGTCACGTGGTCCAACATCTTTTCCCTATTTTATAACTACATATTGTCCAAAAACAAAAATATTTTTCCCCAACAAAAATCTTACCCAAACAAACAAGGGAAATGGTTGATGTCTAGGAAGCAACGACATGGACACAAGTGTTGGAAGTGACTTGGACATACAACACAACATGGAATGTAATTTTTCAAAGAAAGAAAAAGAAAAATACCGTCACGTCCCCGATAGTCAAATTACAATAATATTAATTATATTATTTTTCATTTTTTTATTTTTACATTGTAAACTAAATATTTGTTTTTCTTTAATTCGAACATGTCGATGCTGTATTCAAAAAGCATCGAGAATGTATGTTTTATTATGTCAGTAATGTATCCAATTGTAGAAAATCTAAAAATGATATGGACACGTCACCTATCGGTGTCCAAGACAATGTATGTTCCGGCATGTTTGCAATGCATCGGAAATGTGCCTAACCGTATAGATCTAAAAAAATTGAACTCACTACCTAGAGTATTCAACACGTGTTAGAGTCCAACACTTCTCGACACGAAGTGTGTCGGTGCATCCTAGGTCCATGCCATTCTTTTTCTACTTTGAAGTCCGCGAGTGTATGCCATGTCGTCTACTGAAATGGAGCATTATCAGCTGACTCATAGCATGTTACAAATGAATGATAAATTCTTGCAATGCTCGATTGAAGAAAGTGAAAAGGGATTTAACTGGAAAAAGGCCCAGAGTCTTTGATTTTGTTAAAATTTCTAAGTTTCTCAAAGAGGTCCCATTTTAGAGATTTGAAGGGGTTAGCCCGTAGATTGTGAATCGAAATGTGAAATCTTCACTGGTTCTGACTGGCTCCATGTTTGTTTGATAATTGCTCGGTTTTCACTTGCATTTACTGAGATTATGCTTATTTTGTTCATAAGTTCATGTTACACTGGCTAATGCTTTTTGTAGATATCTAGTTCTTACATTGGATCTTCAAGGCGACCTGCCATCTCTAGTAGTCGTGATCTGTTGGCTTCCGAGAATATTGTAAGCCCAGGAACACTCCGGCAAATCTCACCACTAGTCTCATTGGATCAAAAACTCGCATCTTCTACCAGAACTATAAAGGACTTCAAATCCAATCTCAAGGGTATAAAGAGCCTCAACTTAGGTAATGACGAGAAGGTGCACTATTAGCTACTGTTTTCTCACTCATTCCCTTCTACTGTACATATTCGAGCTGTAGACTTGGGAGAATCTGTACTTCTGTCTACTAAGGAAAGCTGGCTGAGGATATATCTAAGAATTGTGCAAAAAACACACAATAACGAAGAGGTACCGAAGATCTTGGTTTTTTCGTGTGTGGAGCAAAGTGTGTGTTTTTCGAAATCTTTTGTTTCCAATATGGAAAAAGTCCGCATACGAGACAATGGGATGTCACCATTTGTAATGAAGCAATCATAACACCAATGTGTAGCCTGAATTTGGTGATTGGCTTGTATATTGCTCCACGGGACATTCTACATTAAATCAATTTTCATCAGGGTGATTTTTTATATTTTTTATTTTATTTTATTTATTTTTATTTTTTGGTCGAGCTTATATTTCGAAGGATTATCAATTATGGTTTTGCCTTTTCGATTCTAAGTAGTATAGACTCTTCGATGATTCCTAAGATCTCTATTGACCTTATCTTGGAGTTGAGATTGCTCTGAATCTAAGTGGCTAATGATTCTGGTGTATACTCATACGGACTCCCAACATAGAGCTTGGAGTCGCCTTGCCCCAAATTAGCCCAAGCCATTATATATTGGGATAGACGCTATTTCTTAAACGAGAAACATGGTCCTCATTTGAGTTTCTTTACCAGTTAGCCTTTCTTTTGGGATCTTATGTTCGTCTTCTTTTCTCTCTTTCAGTCCTATTTGGGGATATTTGTTGTTTCAAGTGTCTTGTTGCTTTTACAACTAATTCTAATGAATCGATTTTGTCTAGGATGTAACCCATGTAGTTTTTGGAAGGACAGTGACTGTTAAGGATTTAAAGAGTGATGATTTTGATTTAGTGTAATAGTTTGTCTAATTATTGGTGGAATTTTCCTAGTGTACAGAAGTCGGGTTCATAACTCACAAATGTGGGCCCCACCTAAATAAAACATGGCCAAAAATTAACACACCCAACCCTCATTGTTTGTCACCTGTAAAGTCCTTTTGAATGCTTCCTGCAATCGTCACTCATTATTGATTTACATTAGTTACCTAAAACAGGATAACCTAATCTTCAACTATAGAGGGACAGATATAAAAGTGGAGAATTGGTTCATAAATTAACTGCCTAAGAGAAATTTCCCGTCGAACAAATATTGAGGATCATGTACTTCAGATAACTGGAAAAACACAAGAAATCCAAATTTCTATGACCACATAAAAGTAGTCCACCAATTCAATTCATCAAAGGAACTTCAATATTTCATATAATACTGTAAATTGTGGGGATCCTTGGATCATCAAGAACTCCACAATCGTTCAAAAAACCACCAAATATATATATATATATATATATATATATATATATTTTCAAGATAGAACCCTTAGTTTTTAAAGCCTCATCGATGACATGAGTTCTGTTTCTCATCAACATTTCCACCATCAAGATGATTGTTTGAATCCCCGTGAAATCACATCATCTATAATAAAATTACCACCATTCCTGAACCACATGATTGCATGTTTCCTTGATCCAACTAAAGCTTTTTTTGAAAGAACCCTTCATTTTTCCTTCCATGGAATAGGCCTTGTAACTTGCAATTCTCTTTTTTCTCTGGAACTCAGGGTCATTTAAACCCCAAGTTTTTGAAGAAGAAGAGGAAACCCTATTCTTCTGTTTGTTGATCTTGGCTGGATTACGATCTAGATGGGGTAATGGTAGAGGAGTTATGTGAACTGATGATGATCCATATGAAGTAGAAGCTGTAGTGCTGTAACTCCTCAGATTTTGCATGCTGGTTGGACCTTCTTCATTAATGGAGTTGTACTTCTCTACCTGCACTCTGCTTGATTTAGATCTACTGAATTTCTCCATACAAGAATGAGGAACACACACGCGCGCGCACACACACAGAGGGATGAGGGATCATATCTTTAAATAGCCATCACTAGATGTTATAAAAGATATAAAGCAAATTATGATATGGCTAATAAATTGAAAATAAATTTGGTTCATTTTTATTTAGCACCTGATTGGTTTAGATAAAAATCAGATTTTTATAAAAGTAAATGAAATAAATGATTAAAAATTTGTGGGTCTTACAAAAATTATAGTTAAAATCAAACTGTTGATTTTGATTTAGATTTAAATTAACTTTTATAGCCCAACGTATTTATAGATGCTATTTATTATACACGTCTTAACAACTTCCTTTTTCCCTCTTAATAGGTGTTTCCATGCCTTTCTTCCTAAGAAATTCTTAATGAGGTTTGCCAAAAAAGAGATCTAACTACCATAATAATTAACATTAAAGCATGCTAGGTACAAGATTTAATGCCATCTGATCATTAAGGTAATTTGGTATATTGAACTCGAGAGAATCAAGAAAGATAAACATGTTATGGGCTACATATCTAATTCAAGGGCTACATATCTAATTCAAAGTACCAAATATCTTATAAAAGAACGACCCTGTTATCTCAATAGATCCCGGGGGGGGGGGGGG